TGCCTCCCTGCAGTCCACGCCAGGAGCCCGCCGCTGAGCATCGTCCGGCGCTTCATCCACTTGCTGGAGCAGAGCCAGCACGACTTCTGGGAGGAGTCGGAGGTGCTGCGGCTGCAGGAGGAGGTGGTGAAGAGGATCCGCGCCAGCCGGCAGCTGGAGAGCGACCTGGACCTCATGGACATCAAGATCGGGCTGTTGGTCAAGAACAGGATCACGCTGCAGGTGGGGATGGCGGCGGCAGCGGGGGGATGATCTCGGCCTCCTCATGCGGCTCTACCGCGGTGCCCAAACCCGTTCAGCCAACGCAGAGGTGGTCCTCCCCTCCTTGGCATCACGGCTTGAACTTCTCTCCGCTTCACTTTTGAAGTGGTTGAAGGTGTTGAGAAGCATTGAGGTGCCTCTGACTCCCTTTCCCCAGAAGCTGGGCTGAATGCTGGAGCTTGCCGGCAGTCCCCAACGCTTCTCTCTCCTTGCCTGCACGGCTCCAGGAGGTGGTCTCCCACTGCAAGAAGCTGACCAAGAAGAACAAAGAGCAGCTCTCGGAGATGATGTGCATAGACAAGCAGAAGGGGCTCAAGTCGCTCAGCAAGGAGAAGCGGCAGAAGCTGGAGGCCTACCAGCACCTCTTCTACCTGCTGCAGGTGGGGCTGGTGGGGTTCTGCTGTGTCCACTGCAGCTGGGGGAGCGGGTTGGGGACTCTGCCACCCCACGACACTCGGGGTTAGCTTGGTGTTCCTCCTCCCTGCAGACCCAGCCTATGTACTTGGCCAGGCTGATCTTCCAGATGCCCCAGAACAAGTCTACCAAATTCATGGAGTCGGTGATCTTTACACTTTACAACTATGCATCCAACCCACGGGAGGCTTACCTGCTGCTCCAGCTCTTCAAAGCGGCGCTGCAGGAGGAGATCAGGTGGGTGGCCGTGGGTGCCCCAGTTTGGGGACAGGTCTGGGAAAAGGCTGGACCAGGGGCATCATCTTGGGTGCAGTCATCTCCTCTGGCTGCTGCCTCCTGCGTTGGAGAACAAACATACTGGCCTATGCCCTTCATCCCATCCAGCCTGTCTCTCACCCCAGGTCCAAGGTGGACCATGTCCATGACATCCTGACGGGGAATGCCACGGTGATCCGGCTGGTGGTCAGCTTCTATCGCAACGCGCGTGGCCAGAATGCCCTACGGCAGATCCTTGGTGGCCCGGTGCAGGAGGTCCTGCAGGACAAGAGCCTCAGCATCCGCACCGATCCTGTGGACATCTACAAGGCCTGGATCAACCAGACCGAGTCGCAGAGTGGGCAGAGAAGGTCAGGCCCTGGGCAAGGAGGCTTAGCCTGATCACAGCGTGACAGGCACTGGGATGGTGATGGGGGACCTTGTCTTCCACCCACAGCAAGCTCCCGTACGAGGTCAGCCCTGAGCAGGCTCTCAGCCACCCCGAGGTCCAAAGGCGGCTGGATATTTCTATCCGCAACCTCCTTGCGATGACAGACAAGTTTGTTTCTGCCATCACCTCTTCTGTCGACAAGATCCCGTACGTATCTGGCTGGTTTGCGTGCACATCCCTGCAGCGCTGTCGGTTTGAAGGTAGCTTCCGCAAGGCCTTAGAAAGGAAGGTTGGGTGATGGGGGGCTTCCCGGCCCCTCAGCTGCTGCAGGACTGAGTTACTGCGTTGTCAACAAGGGGAAATCCAAAGATCAACAGGCACTGCTGCTTCTGCTCCTTCAGCAACGCCCCGGTGGGCTGACTCTTCTCACTCCGTTTCCGAGCTCTTTGCTAGCAGTGTTGAGGTGTCTGCAAGGAAGAAGCTGAGCTTTGTGGGGTGATCTTGGAGGATGAAGGCTTCCTCCAGGGATGTCTGGGCTGGCAACAGGGAACGGGAGGGAGCTGAAGGATGCTTCAGTTGCTAACTTCTTCTACGGGCTCCTCCATCACCCAAGGCTGGGGCCATCTTGGGTGATGGGTAGTAGGGATGGGGCAGGGTGGGCGAGCCTGGTGCTGCCCCACATGCTGATGGATCTCTCCCTGCCCTCTCTTCAGCTATGGGATGCGCTACGTGGCCAAAATCCTGAGGACCTCCTTGGCTGAGAAATTCCCCAAGGCCTCGGTGGAGGAGATCGACAAGGTACCCCAGGGCTGGGGGGTCTGGAAGGCTTGGTGGGGTTCAACCGTGTGTGCGTGTGAAGGGCCAGTATCCCTCCACAGAAGGTCAAGTTCTCTTGACTTAAAAATGCCTTCAAGTCAACTTTTTCTTGAGTCACTAAGGAAATGCCAATGGTGGGCTCTTGTCTGTGCTGCCCTCCCCTCTGGGAGGGTCCCACCAGGCAGTGCAGGGACAGAACAACCTTCCCTGCTGAGCTGCCACCAGCCTGCGTGCTCCTCGACACCCAGCCTGTCTTGTGCCCTAGATTGTGGGGAACCTGCTCTACTACCGCTTCATGAACCCTGCCGTGGTGGCCCCTGATGGCTTCGACATCGTGGACATCTCTGCCGGGGTGACCCTGCATCCCGACCACCGCCGCAGCCTGGGCTTCATCGCCAAAGTGCTGCAACACGCGGCTGCCCACAAGGCCTTCGATGGGGAGAATGCGCATCTCTGTGGGGTGAACCAGTACCTGGAGGACACCCACAACAAGTTCAGGTGGGCACCAGTGTGGCATCGGGGTGGCAGGGCAGCTACGAGCTGGCGGCAGGGTTTTTGGGGCTGACCGAAGAGGTCTCTCTCTGCAGGAGGTTCATCTCTGCTGCTTGCTGTGTCCCAGAGCCAGAAGAGAGGTTTAATATGGATGAGTACTCGGAGATGGTGGCGGTGGCCAAACCGGTCATCTACATCACAGTGGGGGAGCTCATCAACACGCACAAGGTAAGGGCATAAAACTCATTCACAAACATGCAGGCTCCATTTCTTCTGCTCCCACCTCCTGGGCTCTCTGCTGTGCTTCATCACGTTCCTCTGTATCCCACCACCAGCACAGCTCCTCTTGGCTTTTGGTTTTCTTTTCCTTTTTAAGCGAGCAAATAATCCAGATTCTGCTTGTCCTTCCCTGAACCTCAGCACTCTGCAGTCCCCTTCTGGGCTGCAAAGGGCGTTGTGTCCTTCCCAACTGGCCTTCGCTCCCTGTTTCTTTGCATGTTCCTTTGCCACTGACTCTCCTCCCTCACACCGTCCAGCTCCTGCTCGAGCACCAGGACTGCATCGCGCCGTGCCACGGAGACCCCCTGCATGAGCTTCTGGAAGATCTCGATGAGCTTCCTACGGTCCAGTCCCTTGTTGGTAGGTAGAGCTTTGGGTCCCACCACCCAACCCGGCAGGAGGAGGATGGAGATCAGGATGGTTTCCTTGCACGAAGCTCTAGCTGCGTTGCTTTGGGCATGGGAAAGCCAACCCTCTTGAGTCGCATGTGGCTACTTGGGCTCTCTCTGCCCTCGCAGGGGAGAGCGTTGCCAGCCCAGTGGACAGCAGTGCCGAGCAGGCGCTCTCCCAGCTCAGCAAGATGGAGATCTCCCTCACCCTCACCAGCAAGCTGGTGCCGGCGGCCAGCAGCGAGGAGAGCGATGCGAGGAGTTTGCTGCTGAGGTGAGGATGGGCTCGGTTGGCTTCTGGGGAGCTTCCTGGGGGTTGGGATGCCAGCTGGGATGCTCGAGGAGGGCAAGAAACCCTTGGGAGGCAACTAAATAATGTGCTGCTCTGGTGGAGGAGGGTGATGGTCCAGATGCCTGAGCTCTCCCTCTGGTCTCCAGCACCAAGCAGATGCTGGTGGATGTGATCCAGTCCCAACCAGGAGATTCCCTTCCGGAGATCCTGTGGACCCGGGCCTCGGAGCACGAGGTGGGATGCGTGAGGCTGCTGCTGGGGATGAGCTGAAAAAACTTCTTGGGCAAATGGCAAACAAGTCCTCAGTGAAAAGCTGCCCTGCTCCTCTCAAAGGCTTGGCTGCTACACTTGTGCTCCAGCCGTGGGTGGGCTCCGTGCACGTGTTTTGGGCCAGGAGAGACTCATATCAAAGTGTGTGTGTGTGTGAGGGGGGTTTGACTGCTCCATCTCCTCATGTCCTGTTCTGTCTGTGTGCCAGGCTCGAGCCCAGAGGAGGCCCCGGAGATGCTGGGAGAGCTCAGAGCCCCTTCCAGTGCCTAAAGGGGCTCCAGGAGAGCTGGGGGGGACTCTGGATCAGGGAGGGGAGCCGTGGGACGAGGGGGAACGCTTTGACACTGACAGAGGGGAGATTGAGGTGCGATCTGGGGAAGAAATTGTTGGCTGTGCGGGTGGTGATCCCCTGGGGCAGGTTGCCCCGAGCAGCTGTGGCTGCCCCATCCCTGGAGGTGTTCAAGGCCAGGTTGAACGGGGCTTGGAGCAACCTGGGCTGGGGGGAGGTGGCCCTGCCCAGGGCAGGGGGTGGCACTGGATGGTCTTCAAAGGTCCCTTTCCACCCAAACCATTCTGTGATTCTTGTCCCTAGGAAGCCTCCCACGACCGTCTCATGCACAGGCGAGCGCTGCGGGACGCCCAGACCCCTGCCAAGCTGAAACGCAACCGCTCCCTGGCTGCCAACAGCCAACTGTCCATGGAGGAGAAGAAGCGCAAGATCATCCGTAACCTGCGGTGCTTGGAGAGCCTGGGGCTGGTGGATTCTACCCATCAGTACCAGGAGCTCATCAACGAGCTGGCTAAGGTGTGTGGGGGGGACACCTCTCTAAACCCACCTGACATCCTGCTCTGGTAAAGCTCAGAATGACTTATATCGGCTTTCTCGGACGGCTTCGTTTCCTCCAGGACATCCGCAACCAGAGGCGGTACCGGCAGCACCGCAAAGGGGAGCTCCTGAAGCTGAGACAGACCCTGCAGGGCCTCAACGCCAAGACCTTGTTTTACGAGGAGCAAATTGATTATTACAACCAGTACATCAAGACCTGCCTCGACAACCTGGCAGCCAGCAACAAGTACGTTTCCTTAATAGAAGCCGATATTTTTTTAGAAAAAAAAAAAAAAATATATTTTTTATCATTGCTATCTGGATGTGGTGAGTGCTGGAGATGTTGGGGGTCCCAAGGTGTGGCTGGAGCCCAGCTCTGAGCGTGGTGGTCCCTTCTCTTCAAGGGTCAGCGGGAAGAACAAGAAGCTGCCGTCGCTGCACTACACGGCGGCGCGGCTGTTCGAGAAGGGGGTGCTGCTGGAGATCGAGGACTTGCCGCTCAGCCAGTACGTACCCCCTGGTGCGGTGGGATGAGCTATGGCAGAGCAAAGCTTGGGTGGGTAGAGGAAAATAGCCCGGGAGGAGGGTGCATGTGGGCCCACCATCGTCCCCCCACCCAAACATGGGGTGAGTTGTTTTGAGTATCGCCAGGAGAACGGTGGGGAAGTTGGGATTTGGAAGGGGGGTTTGGCCTCGTGTGTGCCATGGGGGTTACGCTGGGTGGGTGACCTTCTCCTTGGTTGAGTTTAAAGCCGCATTTAAAGTCCCTTTTTGGTAGCGAGCGGCTCCTTCCCTTCAGGTTCAGGAACGTGATTTTCGACATCGTCCCCTGCGAGGAAGCGGGCAGGTTCCAGGTGAAAGCCAAATTCATGGGGATCGACATGGAGCGGTTCCAACTGCACTACCAGGTGGGGGACCCCATCCTGGGGCTGCCGGGGCAGCCTGGGGGTGCCGGGGGTGGATGGTGTCCCCACACCCGGCTGGTTTCGGGGGGACGGGATGGGACTCGGAGCCTGTGGGAAGCCCTACCCCAGGTTGGGGACAGCCTCACCGAGCATGTCCCTGACGCAAAGCCAGCTCCGTTCTGGCTCCCCTCTCTCCTGGGGGATGCTGCAGCTGGGTGGGATAGAGGGGGTGGGACAGCCCCCACGGTGGGGGCTGGCATCGGTGACGGTCCCCTCTCCCGCAGGACCTGCTGCAGCTGCAGTACGAGGGCGTAGCCGTCATGAAGATGTTCGATAAGGCCAAGGTCAACGTCAACCTGCTCATTTTCCTCCTCAACAAGAAGTTCTTCAAGAAGTAACAGGGGTGGGGAGGGCTGCGGGGGGTGATGCCGCGGGGTCGGTGTCCCTGTGGCCGGCGTGTCCCCGTGGCGGGGAGAGCGGCTGCTTGCAATGAAGCTTCCTGTCCGGCTGC